TTGGGCCGAGTATTTATTGGGACGTCATGGCGTGGAATGCTAGTGACTGGGGGAATGTGCCGTTTGTGTATCTCGGTATGACTATGAGAGTGAGCTTTCTGCTGGGAATTGGACTGGGAGAGTCGAGGGCTTTGAAGAAGAAGGATTGGAAGAAGCAGTGAGCTTTTCGGACTGTTATAGCGAGGCTCGGTATCTAGGCATGCGAGATTTCGGGTTGGAGCATCCGAATTTGTGGTCATGAGGAGGAATGACTTGGATATAACTTGACTACGCCTTGATAAGACATGATATAGCAAGGTCTAGAACCTATGATGCCGTATGAAAGGATACCCCCAATCAGGACAAATGGAACTATAAAACACATCTCGAGCCACCTCCTCGCAGATCGCCAATGCAGCTTCTCTCATGCTACCTCACCCCCCACGATTCTTGGTGGAGGAATTCAGACTCCGGCGGCCCACGATAATCCGAGCTTCATGTCAAGAGTCATGATGGCCCCTCAACCAATGACATGCTCACATCGGCTATCGGCTATCGCATGTCGCCTGTCTGCAATTCGGGTATAGCGTCCCGAAACCCCCAATCTCTCAATGCGACACTTCAATGCCTTCCCCCCAAACCGCGTCGCTTACTCGAATCAGATGATCTTTCATGATGGAGGGGTCGTAGTAGAAAAAAGTGCCCCTCACACGTAATGGATACGGTAGTCAACGCGATGAGGGGTGAGCTCTGAGGTTGTTTCGACGAGTGGGGGTTTCTGGTCGGCTCGTCGTCATGAGATGAGCTTTATAAAGGAAGAGAAGCCCCAATTGACTTGTTCTCAATTGCTTTGCTCTCTCTTTCTCGTCATCTCAATAAGCAAAGTTCTGTATCAATCATCATCATGTCTGTTCCCGACAAGTTCCAGGGCTTTCAGTCCCCCAGCGCCGAGCACTGGACCGACTTCCAGAAGAACTCTTTTGAGCCCCGTCCCTTTGGCGAGTACGATGTCGACATCAAGGTCGAGTGCTGTGGTGTCTGCGCCAGTGACCGTCACACCATCAGCGGCGACTGGGGCGGTTGCCCTTATCCTCTCGCCGTAGGCCACGAGGTTGTTGGCAAGGTCCTCCGTGTTGGTGACAAGGTTACTCTCGCAAAGGTCGGTGACCGTGTCGGTGCTGGTGCCCAGGTTTGGTCGTGTCTTGAGTGCCATCAGTGCAAGAATGACAACGAGACCTACTGCAAGCACCAGATCGACGCCTATGGCGCTGATTACCTCGATACTGGTTTCAAGACCCAGGGTGGTTACTCTTCTCACAGCAGAGTGCATGAGTACTGGTGAGTACACTTGCCCGCTCAATTGATCTCACAGACTTACAATTCATAGGGTCTACCCCATTCCCGAAGCCCTCTCCAGCACCCAAGCTGCTCCCATGCTCTGCGCCGGTATCACCGTCTACAGCCCACTGAAGCGTCTCGGCGCCGGACCCGGCAAGAAGGTCGGTATCGTTGGTATCGGTGGTCTTGGCCACTACGGTGTCATCTTCGCCAAGGCCCTCGGTGCCGAAGTCTGGGCCATCTCCCGTTCACGAGCCAAGGAAGCCGACGCTCGCAAGATGGGTGCCGATGGCTTCCTGGCCACTGGTGAGAAGGACTGGACCAAGGGCCACGAAATGTCCTTCGACATCATCATCAACACTGCCACTTCTTTCGACGGCTTCGCTCTCAGCGAGTACCTCAGCCTGCTCGATGTGCACGGCCACTGGAACTCCGTTGGTCTTCCCGGTGGTGATGGTATCTCCATCCGCAACCAGGACTTCATCACCAACGGTTGCTACATCGGAACATCGCACTTGGGCAGCCGACGTGAGATGCTTGAGATGCTGCAGCTCGCTGCTGACAAGGGCCTCAAGTCATGGATTGAGGAGATTCCTATCTCCAAGGAGGGCCTTCAGCAGGCCATGGAGGCTCTGGAAAAGAGCTCTGTTCGCTACCGATCTTGCATGACCAATTATGAGGAGGCATTTGGTGCTTGAGCGTGTGATATTGTGAAAAAATAAAAAGAGGGAGTTTGTTGGGAGTAGCATTGGGAGTTATGAATGAGTTAATGGTGGAGCTGAATGCTCTTGTTGGCGCGCATCAAAGACACCTTGATGGGTCGAAATGACGAATAAGTCTGTCTGGTATGATCAGTGTGATCGTGCCTGAATGAAATGATGAATTGAACATGATGAAATCTATCCGTTCGTTGTCGCTCTCCGTGATCGGATGCAATTGTCACTTTAGTTCATAAGCTGAATAGCAAGTATTTACAAAGCAATGATTTCATAATCAATGATTCCATTTCTGCTTTCTAATGGACCATCACGTAGTATCGTTTTGGAGTTTTTGGCTCAGAAGGCTAGACCACTTTCACTTATACTCCCCGCATCGAAACTCATGGGGTTGTGGGGGTCTCCATCTCACCTTTTCACATCACAATGAGGATCCAAGAGCTGTGAAGATGAGCTGTAAGAGGGTAGCTTGAGTGATTAACTGTCGGTAAAGAGTAAATGATCTTCAGAGTCATTGCATACAATGTCAAGATGCGGGCTATCATGAACCCGCTTGAGTATCATTCTTACAACCTCCAATTCCCTCTTCACGTCCAAAAATAACGAAGCCTGCACCCATGTCATCAACGCTATCCCTAATTCTGCCACGCCGAATTCTTCTCCGTGTATCTCCAGCGGAGACCGGCGGGTGTTAGTAGTGACTCACCCCTACCGGTGCATGTCTTCAGCCTTTTTCACGACATACTGAGAATAATGCGAAAATTTCTGACGGATTTTGCTAGCAGTCGCTTTTGAGCCTCGCCAAATCGAGGGATGTGATTAGCAATATGTAAGATTCGGTGTGCTTAGACGCAGGGAGGAGTCATCGTGGTGGGCTTCGCGGTTTGTTTAAAGATCAAGGTGATTGCCGGTTTTTTTGGAAGTTGGCGATACCTTCAAACTACACTCTACAAGACAATACTACAAACAATACAATCACATCAAGATTTTACAAAACTTTTGGATACCTTCTCCACATTTATTCCTTCTCTCTATCGACCATCGATCATTGCCAACATGTAAGTCTAGCCCCTTTCAACCTCGAGCTCACAGCTAACGACACTATAGGGGACAATCACCTGCATCTCCTTCAGCTGCATCATCAAGATCTCAGACTCCAGGCTCAAGAGACCCAACGGCACTTATGGAAATCACACGTCGCTTCAGCCGCTCTTGTAGTAAGGCAGAGATCGCCTCAGTAGGCATCTCCCCTGCTACATCAGCTGTCTTCGCGATCTACACAGCTGCGCAAACCTCTCAATCCTGGATCGACGTCTTTGACATCAAGACTCAAAGCGGCTACTCCAAGACAAGCGGCTCGCGCGCTGTCTTCTCCCCCAATGGCTCAAAGTTGGCTACTATCAGGGACTGGACCGTTCAGTTCACAGGAGGCTTCGACTTTCACCACACTAGCACCGTCTTCCTGAGGGACTACGTCAGTGGAAAGACGGCTTGTGAACTCAAGGAGGCTAAGGGTGAGCCAATTGCTTGGAGCCGTGATGGGAGACTCATCGCAGTCGGTGAAGCGAGGAATCGCATTGGAGTTTGGGACGTGAAGAACGGGGTCCGTGTCGGAAAAGTTCTGAGCCACATCGACGCAGTTACTCACGCTGCTTTCCTCCCCGACCAGAGCCTCGTCACGATCTCACGCGACGGAACGCTGCGCATCACCAACACCAAGACCTGCAAGACAATTCGCCGTCTTGAAATCGACGGCTCAAACAACCCCCGCGCTCTAGCAGTCAGTCCCGATGGTCGACGCATCGTCTCAGTCTGGGGAACAAGCGTTCACATCTGGATCCCCTCTGTCAACGACTTGACGTCTTACAACCTCAACGCGGTGCGACCCTGTGAGGGATGGCCCCTCGCGATCTCACCCGATTGCCGATACATGCTCTGCAGAACTGAAGATGGTTTCGACATCATGAATGTTGCGACGGGAACGATTGTGTACGATGAGGCTACGGAGGAGATGGTAATGTCTGGGGCTTTCGATGAGGATGCTAAGGTTTTGGTTCTTGGAAGGATGGATGGCGTTGTTGAGGTTCGGGATGTTTTTGACAGAAGGTGAAAAGTTGTGATACCCTAGGATGATCAGATTGTAAACGAGCTGGATAAATGTGTTTTTGACAGGATGGGCGTTTGCTTAACATGGGCGTATAGGAATTGTTACTGTTTCTCAGATATTCAACATCGTTGATTGTAAGAGCATATGCCAGGCTCTCAACAGCAAGTATTTATATACCGAAAATTAATTTCTTCAATTATTTATATTCATGCATGTTCGGTGGAGCAGGCAGCGAGATGGCCTCAGTTTTGACTTTTGACATTCCTCAAGCTGAATGGACCCAGGGGTAACAAAGTTAAGAAACGCCACATCAGTGATATTTTGCAAAGTCAAACAGTAAGCGGCAAATCAGGAGGTCACATCAAATGATACAGTCACAAGCCGAAGCGTACAGTTTGTTACATAGGTAGACTCTCACCAAATCACACTCAGACTCGCATCAACGACACTTAATATTGTATCAAAGTTTGTTCCTTCCAGCCCTTATAATCTCGTCGCGAGTCCTCCCAAGGTCTCCCTTCTTCATACTTATCCAAAATCATATTAACCATCCATCGATATTTCCAAGGACCAGTATCACTTGCTAAACTATATCCCTAAGAGGACGCATAAAGCTCAACCCCTCAGTCACAAGCAACAAGAGACCTGGCCACCAGGAACTTCGCGTTTAGTAAAAAGCTTTTCAGGCTTCCTAGCCATTCATCAGACGACCAGCCAAAGTTTCGACGTCCTTTCTGGCTCCTCGAGGCGTTAGCCAGAGATATATACACATTTTATCCTTGATCTATCTATCTTATTGAGGTATCAGACAAGGTCAGCGAAGAAACAAAGTCGAGACACATCCTATATAGCCCGTCATTATGGAAAACCCACCACTCCCGACAGAGATCTTGTACCAGATTTTCGAGCACTTCTGTCTACATTGTCAGGAGAAAGGTTCCGTCTCCCACGAAAGGATCTTATGTAATAAGAAGGATGAGAACCGCTGGGCTCTCCTCAGCCTTAGCAGGACATGTAAGAGCTGGGGATGTGTTGCACAGAATATCCTTCATCACTACTTCAAACATTCGGATGATAAGCATCAGATCAGTTTCTGCAGGACAATTTGCGAGAATCCAGAGCTTGGCAATCAGTTACAAGTGGCCATCCTCGGGCTAAACGCAGGCATCGACCAGAAGTTATTTGCCAACTCTTATTGGTTCAAGGAATCCATGACTAGGTATGGGCACTTGCTTGGGATAAGTCCGCTCTACCTGCAGAGCTCTGTTGCCTCATGGGGAGATTTTATCGCACCGATTATCCTACTTCGAGCTACCAACCTCAAGCATCTCGTCGTTCACGGCCCTTATAATCCATTGATCTTCTACAGATTCAGTATGGAAGCCGTCATACGGAACAAAGCTCTGAGTACGAAACTCGAGTCTCTTTCGGTAGGGCAGCAGGACATAGCCTCCCTCGGGGATCTGCAACCAAAGGTTCCAACAGATCTAAATACTTTCGGGGGACTTCTCATAAGACTGGAAAACCTCGTGACGCTTTCCATATCGCGACCTGACCTCGAAAGTCTCCCAGAGAAACTCCCACTCCAGAAGCTGCGAAGGCTTCGGATAGGTAATGCGTGCCTGTCAAAGAACAGTCTGCAGAGACTCATCAACAGCACAGAAAACCTGGAGGCGTTTGTTTATAGGGAGATTGAATACGCCGATAGATCACAAACCACCAGACTTGTTACATCTAAGGAGATCTTTGAGATGCTTTTACCCATGAAAGATACACTCAAGAGAGTCGTTATGAGGATGTACAGCTCAGAACGCCCCCCTGCTGCCATGGCTCAGCTAGTCAAGCTGCAACAGTTACGAGTCAACGCAGGAGTATTGTGCGATATCTCCACCATGAGATATCATCGTTTGGACTTTGTAAAGGATGCCCTGCTCAATGTGTTCCCACCGAATCTACAGACGCTGTGCCTCGATCATAGCCACACGGACGCACCTCGATATCGAGAGGCTTTGGGGTGTTACATATCGTCTACCTACAGAGAATCTCCTCAGGAGCAAAAGCTAAGAGAGGTGACTCTTCATTTCGTGGACAAAGCCTATCCAAATCCAGCCCCGTGGACACCGCCTGGTGTACGGCCAACAAACGCAGATGAAGAGGAGTTACTCCGCAGAGAATGTTGCCCATTATGGCTTGAGAATGGGCGTATAACTACCACGACAGAACCGTTCTTATGGTATAGCTGCGATAAGGTCGGTGAAAACACAATGTTACCACATGTATAATTTTAGAGACGTTCGTTTTAGTCTAATAGAACCTGGAAATGCTGTTTTTGGTCCTATCTACTCTACTAATAAAACTATCCGAGATAATAGTCTTTGGCATGAATATAATCCGATGTTATTCAAGTTCTCTCAGAAATCTACATACACAAAAACAAAAGAAACTGATGATAAGACCGGTGTAAGAGATTGAGGGTGTTGATTTGCGGAAACATGTTGAATACACAAATATCCAAGACGGCTCGTTGAGCATTCATGTCACAGCCACATGTTACGACATGTAGCTTAGACTCTAACTCTACATACAACGCAGAAATACACACCAAACTACATCTTCACAGGCATCAGACTTTTGATTGGCGTCCCCAGTACCAAGATTCGGAGTTACAGTAAGTCACAAGCTACCATTGGTGCCACGTTGTAAGAGATTCTCAGTATTATTGGATCAGGATGCACTGTAGACAAATTTCACAGAGATCAAGCTGCTTTTAGGTTTCTCATACCAACAAAACCTATCTCTGATTAGGAAAGAGAGTGATGTGGCACTCTAACATTGTATCACCTTTCTAAGAGCCACAAGCAGACAGTCAAGTCTGGGGTTATATTCACTAACCCCCAAGTTACCTGAATGCCGAATGAGATCGCGAGTGACTAACTGCTAGACATAGAAGAGAACCGTGATAACTGGCCATCGTTGTATAGATGTTACGCACTTAACAGAGAACATCTCAGACGTCTGTGATGGGTCTTTCACATCCCTGGTGAATCACCCCGTCTACGGACTATAAAAGGTCTCCAGTCTCTCCCGCTTACAACCTCGCTCGATTCAAGCTTTTGTAACCCACAGAACCGTCCACGATTGTATATCGCGAAGCAATCATTCATAAAACATGCTGGTGCAGAACCTCCAACGGGAGATCATATTTCTCATCTGTGAGGACATATGCCATCATTGCCAAGAGCCTTATAAGAGTTACCCCCTGACACTTCCTCATGCGGCCATGGAACACCAGCAAACAATCTTCAATCTCTCACTCGTCTGCAAGAGATGGGGATATATCGCACAGAAGGTACTGCATCATCATTTCGGCTACTTCGAAAATCACCCAAAGGCAGAGTTCTTATTCTGCAGGACTCTTTCTGAGAATCCGGAGCTGGGAAAGCATGTCAAGGACATTCGAATAAGGCAACTCTCTGCATGCGATCCGAGTCTTGATGAAGAATGGCTCGCAAAGTCGTTGGAAAAGTTCTCAGGAGTTCTCGATTTTCCAGAAGTGTCCTCCGTGCCAGATATCTCGAAACGGGGAGAATTCATTGCGCCCCTTATTTTACTCCAAGTCCCGACTCTCGATAGGCTTACGATACAGACCGAACACTTGAATGAGACCATGAGAAAGTTCCGTACGCTCTTTGTAGGGAAACAATGTGTTGTCCCTCGAGGTATCACCACTATGCGTGTATTACCACTCAAGTACGAGGACCGCAACACCAACGGATCCACAGATCTATCTGAAGCCTGTGTGGGAGGACTCTTATCGGCTTCTCCAGGAATCCGCGACATGACCTTATTTAACCCCAATGGAGAGTCACTTCGACCCGGGCTGAATCTGTCCGGTTTACGAGCTCTGAGCTTGTGTTCTAATTTGAGTCGTGAAGAACTGCGACTGCTCCTGTCATCTACAGGGCCATTGGAGATATTTACCTATTTTAGCTTATATTTTGATGGCGTCACTCTCCAGGATATATGCGAACTTCTATTACCTAAGAAGCACAGCTTGAGGAAAATACGTTTGGACACTTCAGAGGAATCCCAGCACTTCACAACAGCCAAGCATCTTACCAATGTGAGCGAGATGGGATTGCTATTCTCGGGTTTCTGGAGTCCAACGGACGCAGAGCCAATTCTAGAGAAACACGCATTACTAGATGTATTCCCACCCAATCTCTCCGCACTATGGCTCTATATCTCGGAAGATACGATTCCAGGAGCTCTGGACGCTCTGGTAAACTATATCTTGTCGACTGTTCGAGATCCGCCTGCGGAACAAAAGCTACGATATGTCTTTATATCTGTCCGAACAGACGTTGACAGCGAGGCCTCAGAATTCCCTTTGGCTACAAACAAATTGGTTTGGGAGGAAATCAAGAAAAGATGCCAATCTTTCCTAAGAAACGGGAGGATGATCATGTTTCTCAAGTGTCGGAAGACCAGACGTGGAAGGCTTGTCTCGGATTAGGTTGACTCTCATCAAGATGTCTGACCCCTTTTCCTGTCCATTCGATATGGAATGCTGCGTTGGTGTGTTGCCAATCCCGAAAATAGTAAATACTGAGAGTTAGCTATGACTGGAAGCTGAGAGTTTACAATATCAGCCCTGGACTCAGTGTATTGCTTGATAGTCAAGAACATATACTGAATTTGGTCATCATGTAATGGTCACTTCCCCTAAGAGACATTGTGTTTAGGAGCAGTTTTGACAGTTTTCGGGGAAATTAAACGTACCAGATATGCATGCGAATAAACTGTTAGAATTTAATCGTATTGTTCGGGATAAATGGCATTGGCTTGTAGCCGCTTGCATTGTCTCACGACTGGTGAATACCCCTTGGATCTCGGATGGCGAGTCGACTATCGAAAGTCTGGCTCTCTATTCCCAGAATATTACGAATGTATGCAGAAACAATCATACTGACGCTCCTGAGGAAACCAGTTCAGTAACAAGTGATCTACTACCAAGTGAATGACTTCTGAAAGGAGAGGAAGACCATGCTCATAGTTGCGACCGACAGCGAATGACACAGAACATGGACTGAATCACTCAGATACTGCAACAGAATCACAGACTAAACAACTAACCGTGATTGGCTTTACCGCTTAAGAGTGATGCTGCCTGAGCTGATTCTAAAAGCGTCCAAATTCCCAGAAACCTACCAAATCCACAGGCTCTTCATCTCAAACCCTGTAATTCCTAAACTTTACGCCATGGATATTCAACACCTTGACGCAGCTTTTATATATATCATATGCGAGAACTTTTGTCTTCATTGCCACGAAGGACGTGGAGATCACCAGGACTTCCCTAGTGTATCCGCCGCACAAGACGCCGATGCGAAAACCCTTCGATACACCCTCCTTAGCCTCTCTACAGTCTGTAAGAGCTGGGGTTATATAGCGCAGAAAACGCTCCACCACCACTTTGGCTTTTCTGAAGCAACGCCCCAAGCTGAGGTATTGTTCTGCAGGACTCTCGCTGAGAACCCAGAACTAGCCAAGCAAGTCAAACAGGCTTTGCTAAGATATATCTATCCGGGTGAAACTCGTGCTGAGGGAGACTGGTTGGTCAAGTCCTTGACCAAATTTTCCTGTATTCTCGGCCCCCCAGGAGAAGACTTCAATATTAGAGGATGGGAACGGTATATCGGAGCACTTGTCTTTCTTCAAATACCTAACCTCGAATATCTCGAGACAATAGCGAAAGATCTATGCCGAATACTCGACAATTTCATGAAGCCTCTTTCAATCCATGGAAAACACCTGCCTCAGCGTCTGAGGACCCTGGATATCAAAAACAAGACTGTCAAAGAGACTGGAATTTACAATCCCCTCAATCTGTCCGAAGGTTCTATTGGCGGATTCATTGCAGCGCTTCCAAACCTCCAGAGCCTAGAAGCTGTGAATCAGTCTCGTCAAACACTGCGAGATCCACTACAGTTCCTCAATGTTCGTCACATCGCCCTTCGGAGCACGATATTGAGCAAAGAAGGACTTCGACTCCTGATTTCTGCAACAGGGCCCTTGGAGTACTTTCTGTACATGGGTGCCTATTGCTTTGGAGACAACTTTTGTTCCATCCAAGATATTTGCGAAATCCTGGCACTCAGAAAGGACAGCCTGAAAGTGCTTATTGCAGTGCCAGCTCACACAGCATATAACTTCACAGCGGGAAGACGACATGTCAACGTTCAGCACATGCGCATGGCCCTGGCGGACATCTGGTTGCCTGTGCTTGATGACGATATTCGAGACGATCAGATACTAGTGAGAGGCTTGCCACCGTGCCTCGAGACTGTCTACTTCGACACCGCGGATAATATACTGGAGGATTTGTTGGATGTCGTTATCACCTACATTCAGTCGAGCTATCGGAAAGATCCCAATGACCAGGCTCTCAAGGTAGTGCATATTCTGGTGTGCATGTATTCTGACCGGGAAACGATGGAGCAGTCGCCTGACTCCATACACAATTCAGCCCTGAAGCTGATCCAAGAGAAATGCGGAGATTTTCTGAAACATGGTAAGGTAGTTATTCGGGCTGTCTGGGCTGATGGCCAGGATGAGGACGGTGGTCGTCTGTAGGATGCGAGTGGTGGGCACCAGCTGAGCATATTGAATGATGCTTGTCTAGTGTGATAGCATTGATAGCCGCAAGGATATCTGAGAGTGTCTTAGTATCGAACAGCCCAGTGTCAACTTCAAGTTGCAAATCAATGGAAATGGCCCCTATCAAAAGACAAGATCATGTGAATCATCATTGTCCGCAAGATACCAGGGATTAGAGCGCTTGTCTCACGATACTTACTGTGACTCCCAAAAGGGTTGATTGTATTGCCTGTGAATACGGCACCTAACTAATGAAGGCCAGCCAACAAATTGCCGTTCCGACGTCGACTCCAAGCCATAAATGATCCATATCCATCAACCCATTACCACTCAAGCCTTCCAAGAAAGTCCGAGAGAACCCCTCGAAACTTCTCCGGCTCATCAGTAGCAGGGTTGTGAGCTGACTTCTCAAAAATAACAAGCTCACTTCCCTTAATACACCCCCGGATCATCTCAGACTCTTCAACGGGACAAATGATGTCAAGCCTTCCAGCGACCACCAAGGTCGGAATCTTGATCTCAGCTAGCCTGGACCTCACATCAAAACGAGGTTGTGACCACGAAAACGCAGCGTTGTGAACCTCCCAGCGAAGTTTGGTAACTGCACCCTCGAAAGTTTCAGGCTCTGGGTTACTCTCGGGTGTGTAGATGGTGACAATCTCGGCCATGCCTTGTTCTGCATCTTCCTGACTATGTACGTTGCCGGTCCAGAGTCTTACTTGGCGCATGGGATCTGGCTTGATGCGGTGCGATAGAAGGATATTTGCCAGTGCACGATGTGTACCCTGGGGGCCGCATGCCCAAGTGTTACGAAGGATCAAGGCCAGGAGACGGTTTGGATAGTTGAGGGCATAGTTCAGCGCAAGGAAGCCACCGTAGGATCCTCCAGCAAGGATGAACTTTTCGTCTCCCGCCCAAGCTCTGCAAAGTCTGTTAACCTCGATTTCCAAGATAAACACTCGGCAGTTACTTACCTGAGCTCTTCAAGATCCGAGATCCACTGCTCATCGGTAAAAGGGCCCTTGACATTACTGTCTCCACTGCCTCGAAGATCGTACACGAGAACACGGAACCTGTCTGCAAGAAACTTGAAGTCCTCTTTTATGCCAGTGTGTGACGAGAGTCCCGGGGCACCATGGAGAGAGATTATTAAGGGCTTGGACTTATTTTCAGCTCCGAGGAGACAGACGTTGAGCTTGACTCCGTCGCTGAGTTGGACTTGGGTGTAGAATTCTGACATTTTGCTGTTTGACATATGGATGGAAGGCTCTGTGATGTTTTGCTTTGTTGGTTTAACTTGCGGTTTTATCCATGTACACTGTGGAAGATCTAATATAGTCTGTCTCGGCCATTGGGCTCTTTCGGTGTTGTTTAGTCACTTATACCATTATGGCTTCAGCATCGCTGAGCGAGTTGGAGTTTTGCATAATCTCCGACGGCCAGCGTTAAAACATGATATTTCCCGGTATTCAGCAAGAAAATTACATGTGTAGCTATTTGCCCTGGCCTAAAGCTCGTTTTGTGGTTTGATCAGGCTTACTAAACTCCGAAGAGGCACAAAACCTGACCCAGTTGTCGCTGAGCGAGGTGCCAAATTTCCTAATCGGGTAATTTTCGTAAAGTGAACGACGATTTACCTGACAGCATGATGATTATAGAAACTGGTAGAAAACACAACGGCTTTGTTTAGTATATAGAGAAGATAGTTAAAAATATATAGTATGTTAGCATTGCTGTCTTTTATCAAGTTCTCTCACACTTGTGCAAAAATGTCGACCGAATCGGACGTTGAGAAGCAACAGCCAGGCATCCCCGTCCCTTGGGAACGAGATCCTGAGAACCCTCAGAATTGGAACACAGGGAGGAAAGCACTAAACTTGGGAATTGTGTCTGTCTTAGGTTTTACCACGTAAGTCTCCTCCAATATCACACATCTTCTATGTCTCAAAGTTTCATGTTAGTCCCTTGGAATCATCCGTCATTGTCCCAGGCGTTCCTCTCCTAAAAGATGACCTCTACGAAACGCGGCCACCCGTGACATCTCTCGTCGTCTCAATGTTTGTTCTAGGTTACGCGTTCGGGCCCTTGCTTCTGTCACCGCTGTCAGAGCTTTACGGTCGTCAATTGCTGCTCAATATTTGTAATGTTGTCACTCTTGGCTTTTCGATCGGAAGTGCCCTTGCACTGAACATTACTACGTTTATCGTCTTTCGGTTCGAGGCATAGAAAAGACTAAGAAGGCAAAAAGATTGCCTCCACACAGGATTGAACTATGGACCTTTGCATTACAAGTGCAACGCTCTACCACTGAGCTATAAAGGCGTATTGATGTCTTTCGCTGGGAAATTTGGTGCTGGTCCGATGAATATTGGTGGTGTAAGTATTGCTGATCAGGTCGAGCTTCCAAAAAGAGGTTTGGTGATGTCGATATTCTTCACTGGTTATTTCTTGGGTCCCGTCATCGGATTGGAGGCACCATCTTATATGCCGCCAAGGCCGGCCAAAGAGTCATAATCTAGGTTTTCGTCTCATCAGCCTTTAGCTGTAGCAATTGGTTAGTTATTTGGTATAATGTCTAAGTTGTGAGCTAGATGTGTTATTTGCAGTTGGGACTTGTAGCTGAGAGCTTAAATCAGCGGGCAGAACTTAGGGTCCTGTCATCGGGTATTCTTACTCTCTCTACCGAAAATCGGCCTGTTTGTATACGGCTGGACGGTAGAGTATGAGGTTCACTGCATAGTTCCTATCATCTTCACGGGATTCTCAGCGGCCGGGCTGATATTCTCATTTGTGAGAAACTATTCCTCCTCAGTACTCTCTCACTAATGTGCAGTAGCTCCCCACTCAGATATACGTGATCGATGCCTTCACAGCTTATGCGGCTAGCGTTCTAGACGCTACAAGCGTCATACGTAGCATAGTTGGCGGATGTCTCCCTATTGCTGGGCTACCTCTGTACTCTGCTCTTGGTTATGTTAGGGTGAGTTTTCCCCAATATGCCTCATCTTATACTTACAAGTCTTTATGCCTTGGGTTCATCGCCATTGTAGTATCGATCGCTCCGCTTCTGTTCTGGCGCTATGGCGAGATTCTGCGCAAGAGGTACGACGTCCAGTTTGACTAGCGATTTTTTATAGATTTGATACTTTCGATTATCTTATTCTCAAAGAGGTATGTTCAGACTAGTGTGCCCGTGGAATATAGGATAATGGGTTATTGCCCGAAGGGTCTCCCGACTAAACTGGTTTGACATGGTCCAACTATTGCAAAGAACGACTTAAATGCCTATCAAGCCCCTCCCCGTTTTTGGCCACGTTCTACGATCCTAGCAGCTTCGTGGCCCAATCGTCCTTTTCTAGCAGAACTCTTACATATTCGAGCGTCCTCCTAAGATCCTTCGACACCTCCACCAACCACTTCACATTAAGCTTGCCGGTGTCACTCAAGTCCAAAGTCCCAGCAACATACCTCTCTTGAAACCCTGTGGCGCTTTCATGGTCAGCATTCACCGATAGTATGACATCTCTCGTCGCCTGTCTGACCGTCAATTGCTTTATCGTAATATCATCCTGTTTAGAGGTCTGAAACCCTCCCAATGCAGCAAGCGTCATGTCGCTCCCGAGATATTCTTTTGGATCTTCTGCAAGTTCACTGAGAAGGCTGACCTGTCTTTGATGAAGAATGACGAGATTGACGTAACGAAGACAGCCTGTATCGCAATTCTGGCATGCGAGGTATTGTGCAGACTTGTGGAAGACGCTCTGAAACAATGACAGAATCTCATGGAGTGGTGTCTGCCCGGGGTTCTTCGTTATAACATCCACTGTGCCACTCATATCGTGTATATCTGCATAGCACGCTTTGGGGCACTTCGATATTGGCTTGAGACAAAAGGAGGGAGGCTGAGAGTTCAGAACTTGCACTATCTCTGTCAGAGACGGAGAGTCTGCACTGCCTGAAGTTCCTGAGATGGCTCCTGCATCCGGGTCTGGAAGATTCTGATCAAAGCCGAACTCATCGTTGAACAACTAACTATATCAGTATGGGTTTCTGTCAGGTTTCGTTGGGAGAATACCTACACTGGGGTCTATGTTCTGAGGTACGACGGTTGGTGCAATCTCCAAGTTGAATGCTACCATGTCAAGATCTGATGAGGTGGTTCCCATGGAGGGGAACTCGCTCGATGCTGATAACGCATTGCTGGTACATACCCGTTTCTTCCCATGCCGTTGAGATAGGCTGTAAACGCATGGTTATGCAGAGGACGAAGCACATCGTCGACAAGGGACATCTCCAGTGCATTTAACACGAGACTTTCGACATCTGTCACAAGATGTATTATATTTTCTTGCTTTCGTTGGGAGACTCCTGCTCACGGAGCTATTGGTAGGGGTTGAGTGAGTGTTCCATCGGGTGGTGTACGTATCTGGTATTCTGTTGGAAGGGGTCATAGCAGAAGCAGAGAATTGAAAGTACTCTTCCACGAGTAACTTTGTGTTATCAAGAAGCGATATATTGTGTGGACGAGATGTCGGACAGATTTGTCATCATATCAGACGATGGATCCTGGTCAAAACAATGGGTGTGATCACATAACGTTACATAGGCGTGAGACAAAGGCAAGACGTTGACCTTCAAAACCAAACTTGAACAAAATTACCAAACATTAAATACAATATTTTGATCGAATTATTATGCTCAAGTTGTAGGTTAAGGCTTGGTTGAGTAACTTGATAACGCCATTAGCGTGATATCTGAGCAGACGAACCTGGGCACTCTGACTGCAAGGTTATATCGGGTAAAAACAATCCGTTCGGACTGGCTCAGCAAGATTTGGCGATTAAATCCAAATCTGACATTCTCCCAACTTCAACTCAGCTCTTATGATTCTTATGTACCGCAGGCGAAATCAAGGACAGCTACAACAGGATTCAGGCCATGTCGACATCTCCTAAAAACAAACACATCTCTGCTCAATACCTAGAGGCCGATAAAAGATTGACCGAGGGTCTTATCCTTGCACAAAGCCCATTCTGGGTTATTGCCGTAGCATTCGTTATGCTGAGCGGCATCATTAACACCTGGAACGACGTTGATTATATACTCTTCTCTATTATTGTTGCCTTGCCCTCGATACTTCTCCCAGCACTCTTGTCAAAGCCCGGTGGTCGTCCATGGTACCGCAGATACTGGGTGAAACTCAACCTATGGGTATCCGTCCTAGTGTTTACGGGAACATACTTCATCTCGCACTACTTCTTCGATCTTATGGGCATGCGATACATGTTCAACAACAAAGTGAATTTCAGCTCTTCTGTTGCTGGTCGCACGGGTGGTGAAGTTCCTTTGTTCTTGTATCCGCTTACGCATGCATACTTTATGTCTTACTTCACTTTCTTGCTGGTCGCAGAGCGCAAGATTGTTCGTCGACTACAGCCTGGGTGTGTTAGACGTGTCTTTGTGGTGCTGGCTCTTTCATACATTGTTGCGCTCGGAGAAACATTCTTCATGGCGAGTCCCCTCCTTTCAGACGTGTTTCTCTATGAGAAGAGAGATCGTATGATGAAAGTTGGAACTTTTGGGTACATGATATTCTTCGTCACTGGCTTGCCTATGCTCCGACGCGTCGATGGCCATGGCGAAGATTGGCCTCTCAGCAGAGTAGTCATGGAAGCTCTTGCTGCATTTACGTGTATACTGCTGTCGTTTGAGCTTTGGGCAAAGATAATTGGACCCCTTTGATGGAGTTTTCATTAGCTCAAGTATTGACCAAGTGAAATCTGGGGCAATATGGGGATGCGGGGTGAGATCGGGGATGTGGAGGACTCGGTTCGACCAACGGACAGGGATTTATTACCAACGGACTTCGGTTCGTTTTATACGAAAATCGTTGTTGGGGTTCAGCCTCAAGAAATAAAGTTGACGGGTAAGATCTTGTTCATTTTAGCAATGGATTACTAGCTAGAACTATATTCACTCTATTCAACTTTCTCATAGTATATGGATAGTAACTCTCTGTCCAAAACCTCAACTCTTGGTTCTATACAGTTAGGAAGCGAGTTCAAGTATCGAATACTGGCAACACTGGCTGGAAAGATGTAGTTTATTACAATTCTAAGAAAGTTTTACAGTATATCTAATAGCCAAAGAACCACAACCACACATATCAATGGAGTGATGCTGTATTTAAACCCCACGCTAACACGGCTCAGGAACCGAAAAATATGTTTCCGAACCGATTCCCCGGAACGGGAACAGGAGTGTGGGGGAACAACTCCATCTAACTCAGTTCAGACTCTCCCGATCAACGGACCTATCTGCTAAGCAACACTAGCCAAGCCCTCTAACCTCTCACTTCATAAAGAGCCTCAATGAGCCTCAATCCCGGCCTCCTCGCCAATCCCTTTGTTCTCTGGATGGCTCGTCGCAATCGCGGTATTCACCAGCCTGAGCACCACCTCATCACCATGGGCCCTCCAGCTGTTGTCGGTGTGGGCATGCTTCTCCTCTATGGCTTCACAGCTGGCGGAGGTGCAACTTGGTGGGGACCTTATCTCGGCTGGACCATCTTCCAATATTCATTTACAGCTGTTATCATCATCTCGACGACGTTTGCTTCCGAGGCTGCTCCCAAGCATCCTGGCCCTGCGCTCGTGACTGTCGTCGGTACCAAGAACATCATCTCTTTTGGTGTTACTTATGGATTGACTCCTATGATTGAGGAGCACGGGTATAAATGGGCTTTTGGTGTCTTGGCTGGATTATTTGGTGGTATCTTCTTGCTGGGTATTCCTGTCTGTATCTGGAACCCCAAGTGGCGCGCTTACGTTGCTGAGAGGGAGGCTCGAAAGGGTACTACTACCACTGATTGAGGACTGAATATGTGTATATTTTTGGTTGTTCAATCTAGTCTTGATCATGGCTGTAGAAAGGATCAATGGGCCTAAATTGATATGCTATACAACCATTTTGTGCTCTTCCGTGACTCAATGTTGGCTTAAGCAAAAAGCTTCATCGCAACCTAGCACAAGGGCATACACTACTGCAACTCCTATTATTTAAAACTTGGGAACTGTCAATTGCCAATTTACTCAAACTCTCTCTTTTCGCCACTTTTCGATGAATCGTCGATATTCACATATGAAACTCTTATGCGCCTGGGGACCTTAGACTCACTCCTTTGTTCACTCTTCGTGACACTGACTTACAACCAATGCTTCACTACCATATTGCCACTTATTTTCAAACCCATATTACATAGAAGTTGTCTCTACCAAAGATCCAATGTCAGCTTCTTCCCTAGACACCTCGAAACACACGGCATCATAGTCTTCCCCTCTGCTTTCTCAGAATGCGTAAGAACCACATCTCGATGATCAACAAGCCCATCAAGAACCCTCACTTCACAAGTTCCACACACTCCAGTACTACAAGTTGACAACACTCCAGCGCCTGCTTCGTTGATCACCTCCAGAGCCGATTTATCTTCTGGTACTCGCAGAACCTTGTTGCTTCGGGCCAAAACCACGTCGAATGAAGTATTTGGCTTCTTGTTTCCAGTATTATGTGCTTCGAAGCGTTCGAGCCTCAAGACCCCAGGTGGTGCGTCTGCCAGGGCTTCTTCGACCCCTGTGAGGAGGGCTTCCGGACCACAACAGTATACCCGCAGATCGCTGAGATCTTCTTGCTGCAGGTAGGATTTCAGGTCAAATCTTTTACTGTCTTGGTCTTGACTGACCCAAAGTGTGAAGTGGTCTCCATGCTCTTCAGTCAACTCGTTCACAAATGCAAGGTTGTTCTTCGATCGGCCGAGGTACAGAATGGAGTAGTCAACACCAGCTTCTTTAGCAGCTTCGGCCATTGGTATGATCGGGGCGACTCCGATACCTCCAGCGATGAATATTGTCTTGCGGGACCCAAACTCGAGACTGAAGTGGTTGCGCGGTCCACGAATCAACATCTGGCTCCCTGGAATAGTGTTCCGGTGTATCCAGTTCGAAGCACTAGTATCATTCTCTCGAAGTACCACTATTTGTATATGCTGGTCTTCAGAAGGTTTTGAACATATAGAATATTGACGATAGCCAATAGTACCAGCTTGGACGTCGACGTGGGACCCAGGAGACCATTTCGGTACCTTGCCGCCATCTTTGGGACACAGTGTAAGGCGAACTATCCTCCCGGTAACATTTTCGGCATCTTTGACGACCATCTCAAACTCTTCTGTCTTTGCAGAAGCTCGAAGTGCGGAGTTGACATCGACCTGTCCAACATTGACGCGCTTCTCATCCATAGATGGCACATCCCATTGGATCTCGACTCTTTCTGGTCCACGACCAGAATGAACCCTACAGTATTGATACTCTTCATATGGTGTCTTGAGCCTCAGGTTTGGCAGTCTCTCTTTCAGCACCGCAAGCTCAGTTCGTAGAAGAAGTCGTGCAAAGGGTGCACCAAGACAAGCATGAATGCCGCGTCCAAAGCCGAGGTGCTGGTGCTTATGTTGTCTGCTAAAATCCAGTTTATCGGGGTTCTCGAATTTTGTGGTGTCTCGACTTCCTGAATTATATGCAACGAAGAGCTTCTCGCCAGGTTGGACAGCGTGATCTCCGATCTTGGACTCTTCTTTAACGAGGCGTTCCATTCCTGTGATAGCAGACTCGTACCGAAGAAGTTCTTCAATGGCAGCTTTTCTTGATTTATCATCTTCTGTGACGACTTTCCATAGACCGTGGTGTAATAGATGCGATATCCCCATTGAGAGGAGGTTGGTGGTTGTTTCATGTCCAGCCAAGAGAAGTCCTTGGATCATGCTGAGGTGCTCATAGTCTGTCATCTTGACCACTCCAGCGTCTCTTTCATTCCAAATGTGACTGATTAGATCGTCTCTTCGGTCTGTTTTCCGCTCTTGGATGACTTGGGCGACGTATTCGTGGAGATCCAATACATCTTGAACTCGCTGCTCAATGCTCAACTCCTCGTTCGTCTGGGTAATTCCTCCAAATAGCGCGAGACATCTTCCAATCCATCGCCATCGCGATGGGTCAAGGCCAGCAACTATGACGATAGTCCGTAGGGGTAATGGAAGTGCAAAGTTGCTCTTGATATCAACACAACCCTTTTCCACAAACTCGTCTATCAGATCATGGGCTGTCGCTCTCAACAAAGGCTCAAAACGCTCTAGTCTCCTAGGCACAAAGAACGACGCTACGCTCTTTCTCAGCCTATCATGGTCAGGGTTGTCATACGCAAGGAGGGTCCCCCTTTCCGGGACCTTGTGCGAAGATTTGCTTAACCTGTGGTGGGAAATCGGGTACAGTGGGCTTTGAGCTGAAAACACCGGGATTATCTAGAACTGAGACTATATCATCGTACCGAGAGATGACATAGCCTCCGAGTTTCTCGCTGTATTCTATACTTGGTGTTTCCCGGGCTGTGGCGAGGTCGTCGAAGAGGTTTCTCGGGTTGCTGAAAGGGCAGGTCATCGTGGAAATTGGACCAGTGGGTTCACCATTTCGTCAATTAATCTATTCCGCCGTATTCCTTTATAATATTGTCTTATATGATTCACGGCGCCGATACCGAGTTGTCGTCTCGTCCGGATCAGTTCGGCCGGAGCTATTCAACGGAGGAGAGATGTGGGGCCGATCCGAGAGTGTCGACCGGACCGAGCCAACCGAACAATCGATATTGGCTGAATATCTCGAGTTCCAGTATCTACCTATATTATTCTCTTGTAAATTAAAGGTCGTTCTTCCGGTTCTTTTCCCAGCTCGATCTGCCACCTATTAACGTTCCTTCAAGAACCGCCAATAATCTCCCTATAACTAACCGGGCTCTGTGGAGGTTTCGGCAAGGTCTACTCCGACAAACGAGACTCGCAATATGTAAGAGTTTCTTTTCCAGTTACTTGGTATTTATTTGATAGATGAAGACTCTAGAGCAGTTGAAATAGCCGTTCATTGGTAACAAGCCAGCCACCTTGCCTTGTCTCAGTTGGGAGAATGTGTGTGTCAGTGAGTAAACTCAGCATCCTCAGCAGCGCTTCTAATAGAAAGTCTCAAATTCCATCCTTTGCGGCAGATAGTGCATTTTCCAGAACCTCATCTCTCACTATCAATGTATCGATCCTGTGATTGGTTGATGAAACTATGTCGAGGTATCTGATCAAAGATCTTTGGTAGGCCAATGCTGCATAGGACATCGTTATCTCCATTATTACCGATCGTCTACCTAGAGCTGAACCCTGTTGCATGAATACCTGCATCTGTCAAATGTATGAGCCCTTGGCGGTGTCTACGGATTTTGGCAACTTATATCCGACGTCGTACTTTCATCCATCCTGCGCTAACCTCGTCTCGTATTCACTCATGTAAACCCAACTACACTATCGTCATGGACATATTCATCAACATTTCGAGTATCCATAGTCTAATAAAGAAGATAATATATAAAATAATAGGATATCCGTGGTTTGTAGACATTAATTCAATACCATCAAACAATTGCCTCTCAAGCCCATCATGACTTCAAACAACGCTGCATATCTCGTCGCTGAAATGGCACCTCTCGAGGTGAAGCCAGCACCATACCCAGAGCCCAAAGATGACGAGATCATCATCGAGAATCATGCAGTAGCTCTCAACCCTGTCGATTCAGCTCAGCAGAGACTTGGACCCTCTATCTTCCCCTGGCTCAAGTTCCCAGCTATTCTCGGCTGTGATGTCGCGGGACGTATCACAGCTGTTGGCTCTGGTATCGCCAAGCACAAGGTCGGCGACCGCGTGATTGGATCTAACATGGGAACCTTTCAGGAGTATGTTCCTGTGAAGGAGCATCTCTGTGCCAAACTCCCAGATAACATCGGCTTTGAAGAGGCAGCTGTGCTTCCGCTTTGCTTGAGTGTTGCTGTCAAGGCTTTGTTCCACCCTGACTACCTTGCGCTTGATCTCCCTACCCCAGAGACGCAAGCCAATGGAAAAGTCATTCTCATCTGGGGTGGATCTACCAGTGTTGGCTGTAATATCATCCAGCTTGCAAAAGCAGCTGGTTTCGAGGTCATTACCACCGCCTCGCCCAAGAACTTTGACTACCTCAAGAAGCTCGGCGCCAGCCAGACCTTTGACTATAGCTCTCCAACCATCAAAGAAGATCTCCTCGCCGCGGTCAAAGGAAAGGTCGTGGCTGGAGCCATAGCTAACGGAGGCTTGGACGTCTCAGTCTATCCTTCAATCGTGGACACTTGTGCAGCTGTGGCCCTGAGCTCACCAGACAATTGCAAGCTTGTCCCTCTTACAATGGTGCCGCGATTTCCATTGCCCGATGGTGTTGAGACCAAGTTTGTGGTTCCTTTGGCGACTGATAAAGATCTTGCTTCGTGGATCTTTAATGATTACATCTCGGAGGCGTTGGCAAGTGGAAATTTTGTCCCGGCACCTGAGGCAGAGGTTGTTGGCCATGGGCTTGGGAGTCTTCAGTCTGCTTTGGATACCCTTGATTCTGGTGTATCTGCCAAGAAGATTGTTGTTACTATGAAATGAGTAGTTGAGTAAAGTGCGGCAGTGGCCTATCATTTGGTACCAATGGAAAATAGTGTGATGCTTCATTCACAATTGCCTACTTGAGCTGATCTTCTCATGTGACGTTCAGCATGTTGAGCTACACCCCTTCTCACTCCCTCAAGCCCGTCACTTCTCACTGGCCAAAGCCTTAACAACAGCCTCAAGGGCCCCCCGATCCGCGCCCCTAATCCTATCAACCCTACCATCCTTCGTAAACACAACAGCCCTGCTCTTCACCCCCTCAACCTGCACACCCTTCGCAACGCCATTCTCAAAGAACACAAAAGTCGGCATAGCGCTGATTCCATACTTTGCCGCAACATCCTTCACATGGTCAGTGTTGACCTTGGCAAAAGCAAGTTGTCCTTCTGAAGCGTGGGCGTCTGCTAGGTTTGAGAACACAGGCGCAATGGCGCGGCATGGCGGACACCAGTCTGCGTAGAAATCTACCACGACGTGCGTGTTTGATGCGAGGACTGAGTCGAGCTCAGACGGGGCCGAGATCTTGTAGACTTTGCCGGATGTCTCGGGGATGGGTGAGCGATCTGCGAATACGGCCTGGAGAATGAGTGAGTTTTGGTGGTCGCAATTAATTATGTAGCTAATTTACTGACCTGGAATATCATGAACAGAGCCAAAAGGCCGAATACAATATAAATTGTCTCCATTTTATTCCAAGACTTTGGTTCTTAGGTTGTTGAAGGATCACGATGAGACTTCACCATGAGGTTGTGTTGTTCACTACCATGAACAGACATGACAAAGGTCGCATCACATGACCAGCTTGGTACGCCATCAGCCAACGTCCAGCAAGTAGAGGCCCCATCATCTCTTCTAGATTACACAACAATGATGGACTGAAATGTTGCTATCCTACAAAGACCTGGAATATTAAAAGTTATCATTTGCCGATTGTGAGAGATATTCAGCTGATGTTATTGTTTGGTGCTCTGAGCAGTGTCAATCACAAAACATTCCAAAGGCTAGAAGAAGGATGTAGTACCACAACTTTTACACAGCAGTAAAAAGTAAGGTACCAACACACAATCAAACTTGAATCGAAGTAGGCTTATCATATGAAGGAATAGTATTTATTCTAAACAGTACTTCTATCAATCCGGTTGCAATTAAAATTGGATTTTATGAGGAAGAGAGGGAGGGATTACCCTATAGAGATGAGAATTGAGAAATTAAAGTCCTTTTATTATGGTCATGTCTTTCATCGTAAAGTCTATCCTTGATCCAATTTTTCAAAGATGCCAAAGGGGTATGATGAACAGAATCAGAATGCTCGCAACAAAACATAAACGCCTGGGCTGACCTTAAGCAAACACACTCGCAGAGTCGGCCAGCCCAGTCCGTCAAACCCAGATCCGCATTGCCCCGTACTCCTGTCTTGCTATGCAATTCACTGACATTCCAACAACCATGTCGCCCCAAATGCTGCACTCCATCGTTTTCACCCAGGTAACCACTGGTTTTCCTGGCTCCCCATAAATCCTTGCGCTGTCCACCACTTTCTACACCTCTATTCTTCTTCCTTCTGTATTGGTACCGTCTAACCCAAAAGTTATGTACCGAAGCGAGTATGTACTCCGCATAGGTCTTACTATGCCCAGCCGAGCATCTCGAGAGTTCCTCGAGCGTCTGAAGCAGCCATGCCGCTGACAGCAAGCTGCTGGGCAAGAGGGCTCTTTCGAAGACGCTGGAGCCCGGTAGATATCTTCCAGCTCTCCGACTCGTCGATAACGAATAGGTATCGTTTTCCTTCTCGGTTCGTGGCCCGTACTAGGTGAAGGCCTTTGGATTTCCACTCTCCAGTCTGGCCATTCGAAGACGTAATGTTAGTATCTCGAAATGTACGATTGCATAAACCAAGACGACAACAAGTTTTGCATGCGCGCAGCATCTCGGTCAGGTAAACGTCGGCTTCTTCACCTACGAGAGGTTGAGTTGCTCCACGATCGCGTGCTCGAGACGAGGCCATTTTGTAAAGCAAAGGGTTCGGTTTGGTACCAGGGGCGGGGGAAGAAGCAGCAGGCGATTTCAAGCAATGCGGGGGGCACCATACCTCTACTTGTTTCAGCGTCCAAGTTTTGACGTCCCATTCCCGCTGTGGTACATTTCGGACGTCATCATCGATAAAAAGGCCTTCGGTTGTCACGCGGAGGATGAGTCCGTCGGTTACAGTTCCCACACCCGAGATAAGCTGGCTAGCGGGCGTCTTGGAGAATTGGTTCATGAAAAGGTAAACACCTGAGATGACAATCTTGTCAGGATCCTTGGTTGAATAGGGACCAGCACGTGTCGAAAGAGGCGGCGTTGTTCGACCAGTAGTCTGCGACGCAGCCCACGACGATTCAGAACCAAGCGAAGACACAGAGCCCCTACGTTTCGGTTGCGACTTGGGCTTGTCGTAGGGTCGATACGAGTTCTCCGTGCTGACGCCAGAAACGTTGGACTTGGCGGCAGAGGGAACTGGGCCAGGCTTCCGTTGAGAAGAAGCGGCGCTTGGAGGAGGCTTGGAAGTGGAAGAGGTTGTAGACTTGGGCGCAGCTGGTGGCCGACCGTTTGGCCACATGCTGATCTTTTCGCCAACGCCTGAGTAGGCGTAACTCATACGCTGTCGATCGGCAGTCTCCCTTGCGGCTCTTTCTCTTTCAGCCTGTTCCTTTTCAGCCTTTTCTTTCTCGGCCTTTTCCCTCTCGATCCTCTCCTTCTCAGCCTTCTCCTTCTCCAATCTCTCCTGCTCTCGTTGTTTCTCGAGCTCCTTTTGTTTCTTCTCTTCTTCTCGTCGCTTAGCCTCTTCGGCTTCCTTCTTCCTCAAAGCCTCTCGTTCTGCGGCAAACTTCTTTCGTCTTGCTTCGCGCTCTTCGGCTTCCTTTTTCTTCTTCTCCTCGAGTTCGCGAGCCTCCTTTTCTCGTTGTGCTTCTCGCTCACGGGCTTCCTTAGCTTCCTTCTCCAGGCGCTCCCGCTCTCTTCTCTCTTCCTCGAGCTTGATGGCAAGTTCCTTGGCCCGCTGCTCAGCTTCGAGGCGCTCCTTCTTATCACGGGCCTCTTGCTCTTTGCGCTGCCTCTCCTTTTCTCTTTCTTGACGCTCCTTGGCGTCCTTTGCTCTCAGCTCAGCAAGTCTCTTTGCAGCCTCTTCACGTCGTTTTTGTTCGGCTTCCCTAACTTTGCGTTCCTCTTCCTTCTTCCTCATCTCCTCGCGGGCCTTTTCCCATGAACCCTTTTGCTTTTCACGCTCAGACTTATCAGCTTTGGTTGCAGGAGCCGGCTCTGGTTCTGGTTCTGGTTCTGGCTTGGGTTCAGGTTTGGGCTCAGGTTTGGCCTTGGGCTTTGGTGGAGGAGGGGGAGTCTCAGCGCGAGGCTTTGGTGGAGGAGACGGCTCTCTTGGAGGGTCCCTTGGGGGATCCCTTGAAGGATCTTTTGGCTTGGATTTGGACTTCTTGGATTTCGGTTTCGGGGGTGGCGTCTCAGGAGGCGTCTGTGGTTGGGGAGGTCGAGCCTGGGGAGGTGGTCGAGGAGGCGGCTCGGGTTCATCTCGGGAAGTGGGTTGAGGCTCTGGCTGCGGAGGAGGAGGGCGTTCTGAATGCGGCGAGCCATGCCAAGATGTCCTGGGACCATCATGAGGTGGTGGCCTCGGGGGTGTATCATGATGATGAGGAGGAGGAGGAGGAGGAGTGCCATGAGGGGGAGGGGGAGGGGGCGCTCCGGCATTTGCTGAACGGAAGCCCGAACTCCATCCGCCCTGATTATCGCGGCCAGAATTTCCTGGACCGCTAAAACCACCTCCACTACCTGGAAACCCCTTATCCTGATTTTGGAAACGACCAAGTGCCCATGCACCGAAGCCAACACCCACAACCAGCATTCCCATTGCCATGTTTCCTAATCCATGGAAGCCTTCCCACCACGTACGGAAAGCAGGCGCCAAAGTCTGGCCAAGAACCACGAGGATCAGAGCTGAAGCGAATCCAGCTGCGAAACTGTTCACATTCGGTTGCATGGATGGTAGATACAAGAATCCGCCTCCAGAGGAGTGCTCAGGAATAACAAAAATGTCATATTTTCCTGGAGGCAAGCCAGAACCCTTTGGCACTCCGCCATGAGGCGGAGGCGGCGGAGGGGGACCGCTCATTCTCGATTGTCAGCTCGAGTAGGTTGTAGTTCAATTTTCGCTCCTCGGACTATGGAGTTTTTGGAGTCGCAAACGCAGACGAAATCGATTGTTTAGGGGAGTCTCGAGGAAGCCATTAAGGCTATTTAGTGTGATTGGAACTACGAATAGGTCAGTCGATGCCATCCACATATTTTGTCACAATGAACAGCAACCTCTCAAAGCCACTGAAGTTGAGAAGTGAGGATTGAGAGTCGACAAAAACTTCTGTTCCCGAGTGGCTGGGGCTAGGTTACGGCAAAGGGAAACGAGGTCGGACAAGACAGGACTCACGCAAGACAAAATCGGGAGTACAGGGGATTGGATCTACTCGAGGATCCTGAGCACAAAAAAGAACGTTGCAAAAAGTATCGGACAAAGAGCAACGAAGCAGAAGCGACCGCTTGTGATACAAAACGACAATGCCCAACTTGCTCCAACTTCGTGCAGGTGGTGAAGGTTTGTACGGCGAGTCGGTTAGGTCAGGGACGGACAAGCGAGAGGAGGAAAAAAAAGAACCAGGATGTCGAGAGTTACGAGGAAAGGAGGAAGACTCGGGAGAAAAATGGCTCGGGCGGTCGTTGGTGGAGATGAAGATGGAGAGCGGAGGCAGAGGTAGAGGCAGAAATGACAAGGTCGAGGTAGCGAACAAGAAAGAGTGCAAGGAAGCACCATGAGGAGCCACCTCCCCAATTGTTTACTTCCACTTTGGGGAAAGCTGGCTGTGGCCCCGGGCGGGACGGGTGATGGGCCTGAAGGTACAAGAGTACATTGCAGGTACTTCCAGCGCCTGGTGCAGTTAGTCCAGGGCCACGAGACGCTTGAATGCTAGCCCAGCCGCGCTAAAGTTCACCCCGCCAGCGGTGCACGTCTTCATTCAGCTCCACCTACTGGACATCATCACTCACTGGTGGTTTTTGACTGGTGGATAGTATCAGAAACGAGGATGATGTCCCAACCTATCAGTTGGGAGAGACTAGGAACCAGGATCCAATGCCGCGGTTTCCAACGACTCGTAAGGTGGCTTTTCTGTCTACGCAATTTGCCGAGGCCACTCGTTCGTGGTAGGATGGTTGAATTGGAACTCTATCTTGATGGGCAAAACGGCCTGGCTCTGCCTTTGTTTGATCTTGAGGAATCTCATGATATCTCGCTTCTTACCCAGGGAGAATCGATCTCAATATCTGATTTACATATATCGAAGCTCGATAGCCGAGAGGTATTCCTCATAGGAGTTGAGAGGTATACCTGCAATCCTTGAACTTTGGATATACTTTTTTAATGGTCATTTCCGTTACTTCCACTGGTCCAACGGTCAAGCGGCCTTTTAGCCCCCAGCGTTCATCATCTTCATTTCCCCTCAGAACATGACACCATTCAAAGCTGGGTCTCCCCTGCTTGTCAACTTCTTAACATCTTCTATTCTCAAGGTTATTCCTTCACACAGTTCCTTGTGCAATTCGTGTGGCTTGCTTTCACGAGAAGCACTGACTGGAACCTGTGGATCAA